ACCAAACTATGGGAAGATAACCTCAACACCTAAGTGATTGTCCTTGTCCATAATGGGTTCAGTACTCAGCTGTATTGTTTAAAGGCAGTAAAGAAGTTAGGTCACAAATCTGGCTAGGCCAGCTGGCAGATTTGCCTCAATCATGACTGGATTAACAGCCATACAAAGTCTTGGCAAGTGAGATAGTTTACATATAGATATTTCAGCTGTGTACTTAGCTGTTTGCCTGGAGTTCAGCTTCAGGCCTAGATGTCTACCTTGGTTTAATATAATGTGCAAGTTTATACAAATATGTTTTCTTTCTTATTGCAGAATACAGAGCTCAGTATTATGCTTACTTGCCGTTGGCATTTAGAAATGTAGATGCTCATTTGCAAATTAACCAACCATTGAATAGTTCTTGTTTCAGACAAATATTCAGTAATTGCACTTTCCAGAACCACAAAAAAGACACACAGCGATTTTCAGGCAATTGGAACTTGATCTTATCAGTTTCTTTTTCAGTTGCAAGATTGCATGTTGTGGTCATTTACGGCACTTTACACTGTCAAAATGACTTATCGGAGAAATCCTAAACTGTCATCATCCGATAGATCGGTCACTTCAAAAGAAGACGTATTATATGGTACTTACCACTCTGACTGCCTGTGCTGCCAATCCTCACCCTAAAGCGCCATGGCCTCTGTCAGAATCTTCAGCATACAACACTTCTAGAAGTGTCCAGATGACTGTGTACCCTAATGCACACTTTGGATTCTTCTGCAGACATCTATCCCCTGCTCAGCTCTATAGTGATATAGGGACTGAAGTATGGAACCACAGTAGGCAGCTGGAGAAACAGGCTTTCAACACTTCTAGAAGAGTCCAAATGGCCGTGTACCCTAATGCATACTTTGGATCCTTCTGCTGACCTATATCCCCTGCTCAGCTCTATACTGGTATAGGGACTAGAGGGTGGAACCACAGTGAGCAGCTGGGGAAATGGGCTTTCAACACGTCTAGAAGTGTTAAATTGTGAAGATTCTGCTGGAGGCTGTAGTGTGGAGCAACGATTGGCAGCATGGGCTGGCAGAAGGATAAGCATAATACTTCTTTTGTAGGGAACTATTTTTAAGATTGTTTGGGCCATGAAAGTGTTTTTGCTTTAAAGCAACCTTATACTTTGCAATTCAGGGCAAACTGCACTGCCATGCCGCCCGCAGGAGAAAACTTCTCAGTAATTACAAGTTTGGAGACATAGAAGACTCCCTTCCCTCCATCTCCAAAATAGGGGGCTGTAACCCAGAGCAGCCAATCAACATGTTGAAGCACTGCTACTTAGAGGCA